AAAAAAAAAAAAAAAAAAACTTGGTAACTTACAGAGGCTGAGTAATTAGAACATAATTATAGTCTGATTGTAGTACAGTAGTCTGGTACCCAGGAATGGAATCTATTATAGACTCTCAAGGAACAAGGGTCACTTTATTCTACTAGGTCAAGTCCAGGCTTTATGCTGGCATGTAAGGTTCTTCACAACATGGTCCGTTACTTTCCACCTTAGCTCCTACTCGCTTCCCTAAAATGAGTCTCCTCTTCCAGTGGGCAGAATTCACTGTCTTCACTATGGCTTTCTCCTAGAATATTGCTCACATATTCCCATCATAAAATTTCTCCCTTTCTACATATTCAAAGCTATATGAATCTTCCCCAAACACCAGTTACCGCCATATTATGTGTCCTCTAAACTATAATTTGGAATTTATATTATGTGATGTGGCACTTGGTCAAGCCTCTCTCTTCAGCTTTTTCTGGTTCTGCTGCCATGCAATACACTTAGCTGAACAGGTTTCCCACCCTCTTCCCCACCCAGTCACATTAGTGTCTGCTTCAGGAAAGAGGTTACCATGCCACACTTTGGGGCTCTGCACTTACACGGTCACCTGTGATGTCGAAGTCTTGGTAGAGCTCTCTGAGATCATGTCTTTTAATATTGAGGAGAAATCTGAATGTTTGGAATGTGGATTCACCAATTCTCATTTCCCCATCCACGTCAAGCAGGTCAAAAATAGGCCGAGAATGGCGATACATAAATTGCCCTTCCAAATGGTTCTATTTTGAGAGAAATAGGTAAGACAAGGAACCATGTTATTGGTGCTGTTTTCTTTTCTTTCTTTCTTTTTTTTGTAGCTTTTGGCCAGGGCTGGTTTTGAACCCACCACCTCCGGCATATGGGGCCAGTACCCTATTCCTTTGAGCCACAGGCCCCGCCACCCATTTTGGTGCTATTTTCTAAGCTTGTTTCAAGACTCGTATCTTCACCTGCCATTCCCTAAAAGCAAAAGTCAGTATCACAGGACCTCCAAGATGAAAGGGTTCTGTCATCAGTACATAGTTCCCCTTTAGTTTCTGTGTTAAAAGGGAGCATAGGTCCCCAGCAGTAATTGCCCCTGCCAGACAAAACTCTAGTGGCTCTGATGCATTTCCGTACATTCAGTGAAAATCTTGAGGACCATGTGGCAATGGTGATAAAATGATGACCTCCCTTCCTCACAGAATGGGGAATGGGTGAATACATACATGCTAGAAGTGTGCATACAGTAAGGGGATACTCAGAGGAGACCACTGCTAGGCTGAGCGCAGTGGCTCACACCTGTAATTCTAGCACTTTGAGAGAGTGAGGTGGGAGGATCTCTTGAGCTCAAGAGTTCAAGACCAGCCTGAGCAAGAGGGAGACCCTGTTTCTACTAAAACCAGAAAAACTAACCAGGTGTTGTGGTGGGTGCCGATAGTCCCAGGTACTCAGAAGGCTGAGGCAAGAGAATCACCTGACCTGAAGAGACTGAGGTTGCTTTGAGCTATGATGACACCACAGCACTCGGCCAGGGCAACAGAAAGAGATTCTATCTATAAATAAATACATACATAAAAAAAATAAAGAAAAATTTTTAAAAAGAAGAATGTTGCTTGTCTCCGTCATTCATTCCCCTCTGAGCAAAGGGATCATGGAGGTAGTGAGCCACTTACTAAGATTACAGGTCCTTCTTTGAAAATTGCCAATAGAACAGGGGAGGAAGGGCATGCCAGGAAGGGCCCTGATAGAGCCAGGCGTTGTGGCAGGCACCTGTACTCCTAGCTACTCAGGAGGCTGAGGCAAGAGACTCGCCTAAGCGCAGGAGTTGGAGGTTGCTGTGAGTTGTGATGCAACAGATCTCGACCAAGGGTGACAAAGTAAGACTCTGAAAAAAAAAAAGAAGGGCCCTGATACGGTAAGGTGTGTTCTTTACAACAGGCAACAGAACTAACAGTGGGGACTGTAGGAAACTTCCAGATTATGGATAGACCATTTGGGAATCAAAATTCATTTTCTCCCCCCATTTTTTCCTTCTTTTTCATGAAAGGAAGAAAATTTTTTTCTTCTTCTTGTTTTTCATGAAAGGAAGAAAAATTCTGATGCGTTCTTAATTTAGTGTTCCTTTTGCAAGAGCTTGGCAGCAGCCAAGCTCCACCAGCCCCCTGGCCCCGGCTTGCTCCTTGCCTGGTGGGCCAGCAGTAGGCACACCAGCATGTAGAACTGGTCAAAACCAATCTCCCCCGCAGCACTCCAGTCCAGCATGTCAAACACGATCTTGATCTGTGGTTTTTTCAGGTCAGTCACATGATGAAGGAAGTGATAGAACAGCACATCTGTTAAGGTGGGGAGGCAAGGAGATGGATAATCCCCAACAGTTCTGAAATGCTAAACAAACAGCAGCCATATAAACAGTAGTAATGTTGTAAGCTTATTGACCTGGGAAGAATAATACTATTTTGTTTCTGGCTTTGCCACTACACCTTCCACAATTCCTCGAACTTTAATTGTTCTTGAGGTTATGTGGAAAAGGACTGTGCCTGAAGTTGCAGCGAGTGAGACAGTGGATGGCGCTCAGTTCCCGACACCCTCCCACCCCCTGCAGTTCACAACACTGTGCAAGGCAGATGGCTGTGCACACAGCCCCCTGGCAAAGGTGACTACAACACTGGCACAAAGTGCTCCTCGTGTGTGGAAGGGAAAACTTAATTCTCACTGAGGACCTGGGATTATTCCTTGGAAGTGATGACATGTTTCCTGGGCCTTTCCCTTGAGCTAATTAAAAGGAAAAATAAAAAGAACATTCTTCCTCTATAAAAGTCTCAGTACCGCTCATGGTTATAAAGCAAATACATTTGGCCATTGGAGGAAGGGAACAAAGCTTAAATGCCAGGTCTCACTGAACTCTGACAAACCCCCAAGGGAAAGTGGCATCACACTCCTTCTGTGATAAGCCCCAACTCTCAGTGGGTATCGGTACATCTGGAACTCTAATGCACAGAGCTACACATTCTGATTCAGAAACTCCGGCATGGGGCTTGGGATCCACATTTCCCTAAGCTGCTAGGTGATGTAACTGCTGCTGGGCTGTGGACCATACATTGAGTGACAAAACTGCCTTACATAGTGAGTGTAAGGCTGGGACTCAAACCTAGGTATAGCCCTGCTCTCTCAATGGCAAAGCCATATCTTTTGAGCATTAGGTAATGGATATTTAGTCATATACATTCAAAGGAAAAATACTTTAAAATACTAAAAAATACTTCTGAAAGAACAGGAAAGTTTTTACTCACTAATTGTAGGTCTCAGTGAGTAGAAGTGGGAAGAAATAAACATGGCCATACATTTATAGGGTAGCGTGTGCTGTCCACAGTTGTATAGCCAGACAGTCCCCAGGTTACAGGTGAGATAACTTCTGTAGGTTTGTTCTTAAGTTGAATTTGTATGTAAGTTGGAATAGGTACGATTACCCATTATCTATAATAGCTTCCATTCATGAGGGAAAGTCAGCATCAGTTGGATATCTGTAACTGAGGAGCTTACTGTAATAGCCTCTGTTCGTAAATGTGAGTTGTAAGTAAGCCAGATGTTTGTAACTCAGGGACTGCTGGTACAAATCCCAGAGAGTAATATAGAATTTTCAAGTGTAACTTTGCCTATATGTATGTGTGCCCCCTGCCCACTGGTTACAGATGCTATCCCCAGTGTAAGAAATGACTCTGCTGAAGATGTAAATCGTTATCTATGTAATTTGGGGGTACAGCTGGAACCAGCTGCACAGTGCACTTGTGGTCACAGGGTCACGATTTGGGGCCTTCTGACAGCCTCATGATGTTCCCTCTCCACATCTCACTCGGTATGAGCACCTGGGAACAACACACCTTATATGTATGCAGTGATGTCTCCTTGAGAAACGTTTCCATGTCGGCCCTAGGAGCTGCTTATTAGAGACTGTTTTGAAACCAGCTGACTCTGGCCTCAAATCTCTAAGGCCTTAAGTGACTCCTCCCCCAGGAAGACAAACATTAAAGCCACACCTTCACCCTCTAGGTCACTATCCACTTCATGGGTGACAGAAAACATGACTATCTCTTGGGTGTTGCATCCTATGGGAGTGATTTAGTTACTGGGGAGAGCAGATTCTTCTAAGCAAACGTTTCAGTAAGACTAAGAGCGTGTGGGCTTTGAAGTCAGAAAGCCCTGGGTTTCAATCTCAGCTTTTTTATTTACATTAGGGTCCCTGCAGCTGCCTTACCTAGAGCAGGGTTATTGGGAACGTTTGGTACTGTATGTGCGTCTATATGTAAAGGGAAAAAGAAGGGGTCCTCTTTTTGTTTGCTTTTTAAGATTAAATGGGCGCTTTGAAAAATCTGTATGGAAGGAACCAGCAATCTCTTATTCAAAATGACATTTCTCTCTCTCAAGTCAGAATGAATGAATGGACAAAATACTGATGTAGTTTGGGTATTTGTCCCCTCCAAATATTATCTCGAAATTTGGTCCCAAATGTTGGAAGTGGGGCCTAGTGGGAAGTATTTGGGTCATGGGCGAGGATCTTGAGGCAACAAACAAATTCTCCCTCCATTAGTTCCCACAAGAACTGATTGTTAAAAGGAGCTTGGCACCTCCCTTCCCTCTGTCTCTGCCGTCCCTCTGACCTGTGATGCCTGCTCCTCTTTGCCTTCCTCTATGAGCAGAAGCTTCCAGAGGCCCTTAGCAGAAGCCAATGCCAGTGTCATGTTTCTTGTACAGCCTGCAGAACTGTGGGCCAAGTAACCCCTTTTCCTCATAAATTACCCAGCCTCAGGTACTCCTCATAGCCACACAGACTAAGACAGATATCTTATTTATACCCAGACCTCTAAAGAACTTAATTATTGGTCTCCTATTCATTTGTGGACTTAAGAGGCAAGGCTGAGAGCTTCAACATTTTTTCAGTTATTCACAAGTACTGAAAATTAGAAAGGATCTTGCAGTTCATCTGATTCAAACCTCGCATTTGACAAATAAAAAGTCACGTCTAGCTGAGGGTTAATGCCTGAGTGGGGCTATCTCCCAAGAATAATAACAAACACTTATTAAGTCCTTACAATGTGTCAGGTACTGCACTAAACATTTGCCAAAATTATGGTATCTTATTAAATTACCTTTTTTTCCCCAACTATGAGATGGATTCTATGATTAGAAACCTCAGGCTAGAGGAGAAAAATGGGACTTAAAGACAACGATGACATGTTTTCCAAGTCACCAAGGAATGCTGGAGAGAGCCAGGATTTAACCCCAGAGCCAGCACTTTTTCCCTCCCTATCAAACTGCTGCCAATCTCTCCCCTCAGTTGGCAAGTTCTCTCTGCACTTCATCTGGATGATAAAGTATTTATTAATTAAATACTTTCTAACTCTGCAAATTTTCTGGCACATCAGCTAACACCCAGAGGAAACATGTCTGAGAGTACTGACCGTTCAAGGTGTTCTTTCTGTGCACGTCAAGAAGGTGAAAATATTCCACCAAGGCCTTCACGTTCCTCACAGACAGTAAGCAGTATATTTTGTCCAGATAGAGGTACCACAGAAACGATCCTTCCTTCAGTTTCATCTTGGTACTCTCTAAGTCAAAGGCTCCGACAACCTGAAGTAGAATAGAGAGAGAATTCTGCCTCAGAACCAGAATGTTGGATTCTGAGTATCTGAGAAGATCTGGCAGCAGAATTATCAACGAAATAGTCACAAAGTTAAAACTGCTTCTGCTCAATTCTCCGCCTTGGCTATAAGTTATTTATTGTCCTAATTCTCTTGTTAATTTGATTATACCTCTGTCATTAAAATATAATCAGTTCTGCCTGGCGCGGTGGCTCATGCCTATAATCCCAGCACTCCGGGAGGCTGAGGTGGGTCGAGTGTTTGACCTGAGGACTAGAGCAAGAGCAAGACCCTGTCTCTACTAAAAATAGAAAACTAGCTGGGCATTGTGGTGGACACCTGTAGTCCCAGCTACTAGGAAGGCTGAGCCAAGAGAATTGCTTAAGCCCAAGAGTTTGAAGTTGTTCTGTCCTATGATGACACAATGACACCCTACCCAAGGTGACAGAGTGAGACTATCTCAAACAAATAAATAGGCTCAGCACCCATAGCTCAGTGGTTAGGGCACCGGCCACATATACCAGGGATGGTGGTGGGTTCGAACCTGGCCCGGGCCTGCCAAACAACTATGATAACTGCAACAAAAAAATACCCGGGTTGGCTTAGCACCTGTGGCTCAAGTGGCTAAGGCGCCAGCCACATACACCTGAGCCAGTGGGTTCGAATCCAGCCTGGGCCCGCCAAACAACAATGACAGCTGCAACCCAAAAATAGCCAGGCGTTGTGGTGGGCACCTGTAGTCCCAGCTACTTGGGAGGCAGAGGCAGGAGAATTGCTTAAGCCCAAGAGTTGGAGGTTGCTGTGAGCTGTAATGCTACAGCACTCTACTGAAGGTGACATAGTGAGACTCTATCTCAAAAAAAAAAAAAAAGAGGGTGGCTCTCATAGCTCAGTGGGTAGGGTGCTATCCAGCCCAGGCCCACCAAACAACAATGACAACTACAACCAAAAACTAGCCAGGCGTTGTGGCGGTCACCTGTAGTCCCAACTACTTGGGAGGCTGAGGCAAGAGAATTGCTTAAGCCCAGGAGTCTGAGGTTGCTGTGAGCTGTGACTTTACGGCACTCTACCCAGGGCAATTGCTTAAGGCTCTGTCTCCAAAAAAAAAAAAAGAGAGAGATAGAAAACTCTCCAACTACTTTTATTGCTATTGCTAACCTTCAGAGCAACACATAACAGGATTAGTATATGAAAGGAAAATTACAGATCTTACTTATGAACATAAATGCAAAAGTCCTTCATTAAATACCAAAACTAAATCCCCCCCACACACACACACACCAAGAAAATTAACACCCATAGGGAATTCTTTAGGCAGGAGAAAAATAATCCCATTTAGAAACACAAAATTCAGGAAGGAATAAAGAGTACCAGAAACTGAAAATGTATGACCAAATTGAAATCAATATTGACTGTATAAAACAGCAAACAGCTCACACCTGTAATCGTCATCCTAGCACTCTGGGAGGCTGAGGCAGGTGGATAGCCTGAGCTCATGGGTTTGAGACCAGCCTGAGCTGAAAGCGAGACCTTGTTTCTACTAAAAATAGAAGAACTGAAGCAAAAGGATCACTTGAGCCCAAGAGTTGGATGTTGCTGTTAGCTATGATGCCACAACACTCTACCCAGGGCAACAGCTTGAGACTCTGTCTCAAATAAAAAAAAACAGTAAAAACAATGTTGTATGAAGAAGCTAGCCAAGGTGCCTTCAGAACTTACCAAGAGCTACCTGTGGGGTTGCGAGGGAGCTCACTGGGAAACTGGGAGGGGACAGTAGAAACTGTCTGCTGAGTGCTGCTGAAATCCACCTTAATGCACAAAGTACTGCAAGAACCATATGGAGGAAACCACCAAAACCAGGAAAAGCAGCTCCTTCCTCCTCCAGTGTCCCTACAGTGCTCTCTACTAAACAAAAAGTTTAACATTGTGCCAGCTGGCAAGGAAGATTCCAGGATCACAAACAAAACAATGAATGGTAAAGATATGGACTCAAGAAATAATAAATAGTGCCTGACACAAAGATGATAGATATGTCAACATATTTTAATTGGAGAATTTGTTCCATTTCTGTTTAATGTAATTGGTGACATATTTTAGTTTAATGGATCTCTCATCTTTGTATCAGGTAGAGTTTATTGTCTCTCAGGTCCAAGACTATTCAGACAGGGGGAAAAATGGTCTCTTCAACAAATGGTCTTGGGACAACTGGATATCCACAGGCAAAAGAATAAAGTTGGTCCCACACCTTGAACCACATACAAAAATTAACTCGAAGTAGATCTAAGGCCTGTATGTTAGAGCTAATATTATAAAACTCTTAGAAGAAAACACATGAGGCCAGGTGCTGTGGCTCATGCCTACAATCCTAGCACTCTGGGAGGCCAAGGAAGGCAGATTGCCTGAGCTCAGGAGTTCAAAACCAGCTTGAGCAAGAGTGAGGCCTGAAAATAGCCAGGCCTTGTGGTGGGTGCTTATAGTCCCACCTACTTGGAAGGCTGAGTCAAGAGAATTGCTTGAGCCCAAGACTTTGAGGTTGCTGTGAGCTATAATGCCACAGCACTCAACCCCAGGGTGACTGAGGGAGACTGTCTCAAAAAAAAAGAAGAAGAAAAAAACATATGAGTACATCTTTATAACCTGGGATTTGGCAATGGTTTGTTATATAACATCAAAAGCAGGAGAAAACAAAAGAAAAATGGGTAAGTTGGACTTTCCCAAAATTAAAAGCTTTTCTGCTGCAAAGGATACTACCCAGAAAATGGAAGAATATATGGGCAAATCACTTATCTCATAAGGGTTTAGTAGTCAGAATATATACATTATATACATAATATATATATATATATT